AGAGATAGTAAGAAGCACGACGAACAGTCAAGAAAACTTTCGGCTTCTTCACGAGTGGTGGGGTTCCATGAAGGCATTATTGGGTGTGTCATCCCGTCTATTTTGGGCGTCCGTATTTTCGCCTTACGATACAATGCCGGAAACAAACAAGACGAATAGATAAGAATCGTAAACAACAGCAGTCAAGTTATCTCTTAATTTCTCCCCGACCGAGTGGTGTGGTTAGATCTTCTAATTAGGGGTGCCATCCCATTTGTTATTCGACGTCGGTATTTTCACCTTTCGATACAATTCCGGAACAAAACACGATGAATAGAAAAGTTAACGAACAGTCAATTTACCTCTCGATTTCTGCCCGACCGAGTGGTAGGGTTAGGTCTTTTGCTGAGAGGTGTGTCATCCCATATATTTTGGACGTCGGTATTTTCTCGTTTCGATGCAAGTCTGGAGAGGGGGTCAATCAAGTCACACAGAAGCAAGGCAGCCCACACACAAGTTTTCCTCTGTAGCGTTTGGAAAAGAAGACCGCTCTGTATCACATACATTCCCCTCTCGCACAAAATCCACGACGGCACTGGCTGTAGGTATTGACTATTAGATAATCGGTTTTTGATGCGCCGGGTGCCACTTCGCACACGATTTTCGAGTATGTTGAACTCTTCGGGTAGATCCGGAAGGGATTTACAGAAACGATGCAGACAGCTGTTCCCAGAGCACCCAAGAACCACGCAGCAGTTGGCAGTCACATTTACGCGTTCATACCTTTTTCAATGTCTCATGAAATGTTTTTTCTGAAAAGAACGAGGATGGTCTGCCCACTGCCTCTGCGCCTGGGGCAATCGGTTGAGACGATTTAACCTTACGAAGAAGGAGAGCGCTACGCGAAGTGTGAGGCTCGTGTTCGTTTCCGCTCGTGTTCCTTGTACGGCACCGTGCTTTGTTGTGTGAGTCAAGACATGAACATGCGATATCATGACCTACCCCCTTCACGATGGTCTATGAAGTTTTTTGCTAGAAAATCTACGTACAAACATAGAGAGACCACCCATTCGAGATAAAACCACAGCAGACGAAGGGGATGAGTTTTAAGTCTTTTCAGTGAGTGGAAAAAAAAAATCGGCTGGATAACTTTGAGTCCTTGCAAGCCGCCTACATGCACTCAACTGATCCATACCTCGTCAAGATTGGTGAAGAAATGAGCGTGGGAGCCCTGGAGGAAATTGCTCCTGGCGATGTCGTCCGGGTGCGAAACCGTCCACTGGAGGAGCCGGTTCTCCTGGGGGGGTGACGGTGACAGGACGAAAGACCAGCAAGCGGCAAGGATGGTGCGAAACCGTCCACTGGAGGAGCCGGTTCTCCTGGGGGGGTGACGGTGACAGGACGAAAGACCAGCAAGCGGCAAGGACACCGGTACGGTAAGGGGGGGATGTTCAAAGACTGGGTGAGAAATAGTGCACAAAGGGAAACGGAGGTGTTAACCAAGCAGGGCAACAAGCCTCTCTAACCCCTAGCACGCAACACCAGAAGATAAGGACAATGAGGCACCGTATCCCCACAAGGTAGGGCCGAATAAAGAACGATTGTAAAAACGAACACACACGCGAACAGCCACGATCACCACACCCCTTCCTTTTGAACTCTCTACCTTCCCATGTTCTACAAGTGAACGGCGGCAGGCATCCCTACAGGCCTCCATTCTCCACTCCAAGACACCAAGTCAATGGTTTATCCGCCGATCATTAGGAGCCCCCTCCCCCCCGATCATCACACCCTTGCACATTCACATACCTTCGCTGGTATATTTCAGTATAGGCTTATACAAATAGGCATATTTTCGAGTGTGTTTTATGCCTACGCCCATTGGCATCAGCGAGCGCATGCACCGCAGTCATTGGGACAAGTCCTTCGGGTACAGAGAGCCCGCGTCAATGGCTCGCTTTAGCTGGGACAGCGTCAGACCGGTCACGCCCACTGGCATCTGCGAGCTCATGCGCCGCAGCATGCGCTCGTTGATACTGGTGGGCATGACAGGTCTGACGCTGTCCCAGCTAAAGCGAGCCATCGACGCGGGCTCTCTGTACCCGAAGGACTTGTTGCATGCGCTCGCTGATGCCGGTGGGCGTCGCCATAGATAGACTCGAAATAGGCCCAGATTTCTTCCATTAGTTGTATGGACCTCAACCCACCATTCCCTTCGACTACTGGTACTGCCTGTTGTTACATCTCCAGCGGATAATACTTCTTTGATTGCACGCATATTTTCTCCCACCCTTGTTGTACCCAATCACTCCAGTTACAGTACCTTCAGTCTCGCGGACAGCTCCCTCGGGTAAAGAGAGCCCGCGTCGATGGCGCGCTGCTCCAACTCGGACAGCGTGAGCCCGGTCACGCCCACCGGCATCAGCGAGCGCATGCGTCGCAGCGCCTGCTCGTTGGCCGCGGCCTCGCGGTCGAACCATGCCCTCTCCTCGTCCGCCACGTGCTGTAGTTTTTCACGTTGTTATTGCGAAAGGGTCGATGCAAGGAAGGGAAGGAGATGGAGGGGCGGGGTGTGTGGGTGTGTGTGTACTCATAACCAGCCGTGCATGCTGTAGTCTTGCCTGTATTTTATCGTATTTTACTCCAGGAAAACATGGCCCCTTCACAATGGTAAACCTGCCACGCCTGCCTACCTTGACGT